CTCCCAGCGGGCATGGGAACTCCTCGGGATCCGCCAGGAAGAGCTTGAAGAAGTGGCTGGGGAGAGGGAAGTCTGGGCTTCCCTCCTAAAGCTGCTGCCCCCGCGACCCGACCCCGGATAAGCGGTGGAAAATGGATGGATGGATGGATGGAAATTGAGATTATTATAGTACTATAATGAATGGATGAAATGAGTGCTGCTATAAAAATGGACAGGAAAATTGGACAGCATGAGATAAGCCTCTACACTTTGATTTATATGTGAGATTCTTACGTGGTAGGTGCTGCAGTTTTGGTTAGCAATAATGTGTAACTGGGCACAGCAGTAAACTCCTTGATATAGATGTGTGGACCACAACCTATGCACGTAAACATTTTTGTTCTGATGGAAAAGGTGAAGCATCCATTTGAGGGAGGCATTCAATTGTTCGTTCTGTAATCTGTCTTGCTTCTCATTCATCCAGTTGTGCATTGTCAGGAAATGAAAATGTAAGAGCTCATTCACACATTGCTGGAGCAAGTGTGTAAGAATACTGGATAAACATCTTGCATGGATGATGGATATGCTGTATGGCACCTTGGAAGGCTAAATGCGCATGGCTGGAAGAAATCTTTTGCCAATGGAAGTGCTTGGAATCTGCAATCTACAGTACGTGATTGAAAGGCTTTTAACATAACAGCTCAGTGCTGTTACTCCTCCAGAAGCGAAATGAAACAGATATATTTTGTGCTTAATAGACACAACACCAATGAAACTTTCGAAATGGACTGAACATTGGTAGCGTTCTTCTCTTGGCGTTTCTGTTTAAAGACTGAAAGGAAATGGAATGTTTTGGCCACAAACTATTTTGACGTTAATGAGCACTGATGTCATATAGGCCCTACCTTCATTACTGTTTTGAGTGGAACAATGAATAAACATACTGAATGCTATTTCTTTGAATTAATGTGGTGGTTATAATGTTTTCAGCTCAGTTTAAGGAGCCACAATCAAAAAATCCTGGTAACTTCCAGCATATGTGTATATACCTGTATATATCCAGGTATATGTATATATATATATATATATATATATTAGGGTGGTCCACATTTTCAGGGCAAAAAAAAAAGTTTGTCGGATTCGTCGGGCCGGGTCGGAATTCTTGTCGATACTATGGTACAAGGTTCTGTGCAAAATTTCATTCCGATCTGATGATATTTTCCCGTCCCGCAAAGCGGCCAAAGTTTCCACCATAACAACTGGTCTCAATAGGGTGAACATGTGTATTTTAACCGTGTATTTTGCCATGCGTGACACTGGCTGGGCTGAATGTTGCCCGAACGATCACCTCCTGACTAACTAACCATTCCATCGCTGCTCTCAGCAGCCGGAGACAAACTCAAACGCACGCCTAACACACAACGGTCACCTACTGGCGAGCTAATATCTTTCAATTGAAGTCGAGAATCGCCGGAATTCTTACTGGACGCTGAGCTGAGGACGCTTTTCGACATCGAAAAAAAAAAAAAAAAA